ACACTTCCAAATGAGACCCGCAGGGTATCTGAGGCTGTAAGCCAAGTTTCGGCCACGCTTCAGTTGTGAAGCTTCCAGCCTAGGTCGCCGCTGACGATTAGGACATGTTGAGAGCATACTCTAGGGTGTGGAGGGTGGGCTGAACATTGTACTCTAGAACCAAAATGGCACGCAGAACATGAAACATCACAAAACAACATGTGAAGATCACATAGTACGTTCTAGAGATGTTACAATGTTCAGGGAGAGAGTTACGCTCTCAAGCAAGACTAGACGCCCAACACACTTTTCTCACTGCCAATAATTGCTTCAGAGGTTGTTGGGACATTTCTCACCAGGCAGCATTCCAACAACACTCGGTAAAAGAATCCCTAGGCGCTCTGAGTGGCAGTGGAATGAAAAGTGCTGATATCAATGGTGATCAAGTGACCATTGAACCGGAAAGGTTTCCGGATAAATCTGGGCTCCCCGGTGAAACGAGAAGAACTGCTCGAGGCTCATTCTATGCCTCGTGTCCGCTGTGAATTTGACGGGCAAGGGATCATGAAAGTTCCATCGGCTGAGGAGATCAGCATCTTGGTTCAAACTGCCGGGGATATGCGAGATATCACAGGTGACTCGTGCCGAGACTAGGACATGTGCTAAATGTTCGACAAAATAGCACAACGGGGCTGATGTAGTAAAGAGCTTGTTACCACTAGCCTCTGTAGCAGCATTATCACTGAGACTCTTAAAGTGCAGGGGAACGCATGCGTGAGGACACAATGCTGTGCACAGAAGTACAAGAAATGCTTGGGCGAGTGTTTCATAACATGCGATATCACGCTGGGCTTCTGGTCGAACTGGGACGTCGAACTTCTTAACTTCATGGACATGCCACTCTCGGAGAACCAAAAGATTCGGTGCTTGGAGGCAACAAAACCGCCGACTTGAAACAGGTCCCCTTGGGCAGAGGCGTCGGCTGCGGCTTGAATGGGTGCCTGAAAGGATGGGCGCATGGTTCGAAGAGGAGTGGAGACTGTTAACCATCGAAGCCATAACTTCAGTACACGACGACTGTGAACAGACAGTTTTCTTTGTTTGGCGCTAGGATTTACGATCCGAAGCCACAATCGTCTATCTGTCAATCTAACTGCTTCTACTTCCTGCAGGGTTTGGACAGGAGTGCGTCGAACTGAGATCAGTTTAGAGTGCTTGGGAATCGCAGTTCCGGAAGGGGTACTGATGAAGGTGAGATCATCAGAGAGACACGACTTCACTAGTGTCCAGTATCCTGGGCCGACACTCCTGGAGATCCCAATCTGGGCTTTGGGTGTATATTTAACAACCCTAAATTTGAATATACAACCCTGAGGGTTATAATACACTTTTCAACAGACTAGACGACAGGGTGGCCCGAAAGCAAGTAGGCGGAAGAGAACAAATAGAAGGGAAGAAAAGCGAAGTAACAGAAGATGAATGAGCACTAAAGAAATGAAGAGATGATATATGATGATTCAAAACATTAAGATGAAACAAAATGAGATGATGATGAGATGACACAATATAATATATATATATATATAGATATATATATACATTATGATTATGATACTATTATCACGTTATTACCAAATCTATTAATGTATATTCTGTTGCACTGTACTTCGGAGCCCAAACGGTAGTCCCGGTCGATTCTTTTTTATCCAGCGCCGGTCGAGCTCAAACGCTAGTCCCGGTAGTAAGAGCCGCCGAAGTGTGCGAAATCGCACGTCCCAACCTGGCATCAGGACAACCAATGCTCATACAAATGCAACACTTGAAAAACAAAACAAATTACCCACAGTTCAACTCATGTTGTTTTGTCGGTTATCAGATATAGTTGCACACCCAGTCGGAACAGGATCGACTTCGAACAACTCTCGGTCGTGGATCTCGTGCCTTGTGGAGTCTCTGCGCGTTCAGCTGGAACAAGGGTCGACTTCGGACAACTTCCGGTCGTGGACCCAGGTCCTTCTAATCAGTTTGGTCACGACACTTTGCAATAGCCAATTCACAGCTTTTCGCCGATACTTGTAACTTCGTGGCTGGTGACATCAAATATGAAAATATGATGCGCCATGAGATGATGATCTCACGATACGCCCGTGATATGCTATTGTGATCATGAGCTAACGATGAGGTCGATGACGATTGCAATGACGTAGCTGCTGGTAATGATGATGATGATGATGATGGTGCTGACGACGATGATGATGATAATGATGATGATGATGTGGATGATAAGGATGATGATGATGATGATGATGCTGATGATGATGATGAAGGTGATGATGATGATGATGATGATGATAATGATGATGATGGTGCATGTCGCCAGGCACGGTTTACACCACACGTTGTTTACGCCAGACGAAGTAACCATGGAAAAGTTTACACCAGACAAAGCCGACAAAGGTTTACACCAGAGAAGAGTTTACACCAGACATCGATTACACCAGACACCGTCTATACACCAGACACGGTTTACACCAGACGTCGTTTACACCAGACAAGGCCAACAAAGGTTTACACCAGAAAGAGTTTACAGCAGAGACAGTTTACACCAGACAGCGTTTACACCGGACACCGTTTACACCAGACAAAAAGGTCTTACCGCAGACGAGGTTTACACCAGACAAAACCGACAAAGGTTTACACCAGAAAGAGTTTACAGCAGAGACAGTTTACACCAGACAGCGTTTACACCAGACACCGTATACACCAGACACGGTTTACACCAGACGTCGTTTACACCAGACAAAGCCAACAAAGGTTTACACCAGAAAAAGTTTACACCATAGACAGTTTACACCAGACAGCGTTTACACCAGACACCGTTTACACCAGACATGGTTTACACCAGACATGGTGGAAACCATGGCAGCAGCAATTATAAGGCGATTAGCAACAAAAGATTGCAAAACACCACGTAACTACGCACTGAACGATGACACAGGAACACCTTCGAGCCAGAACTATAAGGCGAATAGCAACCAAAGCGTGTAAAACACCATGTAACTACGCACCGAACGATGACACAGGAACACCTTCGAGCCAGAACTATAAGGCGATTAGCAACCAAAGATTGCAAAACACCATGTAACTGCGCACCGCAAGCACAGAGAATAGCCTCCCAAAACCGGATCTCGACGTCCAAGCTCCAAAAATTGCGATTTCGAAGCGTTTTTTAAAAGAGATTTATAAGAAAAATGAAAGCGGCAAAACTTGGAAAAAAGTACGTTGGAAACCATTGCAGTAGCAATTATAAGGCGATTAGCAACCAAAGCTTGCAAAACACCACGTAACTGCGCACCAAACGATGACACAGGAACACCTTCG